GAACCCGGGCCGCACGCATGCCAGGCAAGCGCGCTACCACTTGAGCCACATCCCCAGCCCCTCATTAGTGTAATTTAACTTTTTTTATTATTTTTTTGTTTGGATATCTGTTGGTGAGAGCAAGGTATTGAAGTCATCCACTATTGTTGTATTATGTCTTTTTAATGAATTGTTCCCTTTATCAGTGCATAGTGACCTTCTTTGGTTGTTCTGATTTTTGCTTAAAGTCTGTTTTGTCAGATGTGAGTATTACTCATCTTACTTCCTTTAGAATTCCATTTATTTAAAAATCATTTTTGTCCTTTCACTTTCTATTTGTGTATGTCTTTGCCAGTAAGGTGAGTGTCTTGTAGGCGAATTGTTGGGCCTTGGTTTTTAATCCAATCAGCCAGTCTACATCTTTTAATTATTGAATTTAAGACCACTTGCATTCATGGTTATTATTGAAAGGCACACACGAACTTGTTCCTGTTGTTTTATTATTTTTTTTTTCTGGTTGTTTTGAATATTTTGTTTGTATCTTCCTCTGTTTTTCATCTTAGATGTTTGAGGGTTTTCTGTATTTGTAATGTTTTATTCTTTCCTAATTCTCATTTGTTTATCTACACTGCTACTAAGATTTATTCTTTCTCTGCTGTCATGATCATGTTTATCTTTCTTCCTCTTGTGAGTGTAGGTATATTCTGTAATGCTGATTTAATAGTCATGAATTCCCTTAGCGTATGCTTATTATGGAAGATCTTTATTTTCATCCAATTCTGAAGGATAACTTTTCTGGTTATAACAAATCTAAGTTGGCAGTTATTTTATTTTATGACTTAAAATACCTCATTTCATGTTCTCCTAGCCTTTAGAATTTTTGCAGAGAAATCTGTTATTCTAATGGGTTTGCCTTGAAATGTAACTTGGTACTACTCTTTTATAGTTTTTAATATTCTTTCTTTGATCTGTACTTTTGGCAGTTTATAACATTGTGCAAAAGTTCTTTCTGGTTGTGTCTATTTGGAGTTCTAAATGCCTCCTGAACTTGAATGTCCATGTGTTTTCCAAGATTTTGGGAAACTTTCCATTGTTATTTCACAAGATTTTTTTTTTTTAACATTCATTTTTCAGTTGTAGATGAACACAGTACCTTTTATTTTTATGTGATGCTGAGGATTGAACCCAGTGCCTCACGCATGCTAGGCAGGCGCTCTTCCTCTGAGCCACAACCCTCACAAAATGGGTTTTCCAAGCCTTCAGCCTTTATAGTTCTTTTCTCTTGTCTATTCTAGTTATACATGTTTGGTCTTTTAGTAGTGTCCCAGAGACCTTGTATGTTCCCTTCATTCCCTCTTTTTTCTCTTTATTACTGTCTGAATGTGATAATTCTTTAACCTTGTCTTCAGGTTCTGGTATTCTTTCTTCATTTGATCTGGTCTGCTGGTGATACTTTCAACTGAGTTAATTTGACTTAATTTGTGCTTTCAATTTATTTGTTTGGTTCTTTTTCAAATTGTCTATTGTATTGACTTGCACATTCATATCTTGCATTGCCTTCCTTAGTTCATTCAGCTGTTTATTCATGTCCTCTCAGAATTCATTGAGCTCTTTTCCCCTAATACTGGAGATTGCACCAACAGTGCTGTTCCACTGGACTGCATCCTCAGCCCTTTTTATTTATTTATTTTTTAATTCAAAGCAGGGTCTTGCTAAGTTTCCAGTGTTGGCCTTGAAATCACAATCTTCCTGCCTCACCCTTCCAAGTCACTGGGATTATAGGCATGTGCCACCATGCCCAGTAAGCTTTTTAAAAGTCATTCTTTTTGAGTTCTTTGTCCACTTTGCTGTTGTTAAAATTAGTTACTAGAGTATAACTTTACGAAGGGTCATGTTACCTTACTTTTTCATATTTCTTTTGTTTCTGTGTTGAGATTTTTCCTTTTTGTTGAAATGGATGTCTCTTCCACTTTTATACGAGGGCCTTCTTATTAGTAGCCTTCTCTGGAAAATGTGCCCTGGGATACCAGTTGGTTATACAGTTTTGTGTCTAATTCCAGTTTGACTTAATAGGTTAGTTTCCCTGTAGCTTTCTTGGCTATGATTTGTGAGTTTTGACACAATGTGTACTGTTACAGAGCCTCAGATAACCTGCTTTCTCTTGTAGGTCTCTCAAGACTGTGATCCCTCTAGTAGTTCAGGCAGGTGCCACGGAGACAGCAGAATGATTGGGGTGGGCCCCCTGGTTACTCCTTCAGTCTTGTCAGCAATGTGTGGTCTGGTAGGGTATGGGGATGAGTTATGCTGAAAGCTCCCTATAGATTCATTGTCCATAACCATTGTGTTATTCCTCTCTGCTCTTGATATGGGGGTGAATGATCAGGAGTGGGACTTCAAGTTCCCTGCCATACCTACTTGGAGCTGGATTAATCGCTGGTTGTCTTCTCCCCCTGCCTTTTTTTGTAATAAATTGAAGAATCCACCAAGGTTCAAGCAGGACTAGGTTATGGCAGGAGTAAGGTGCAGTTTCTCTGAGGGGAGCTGGAAGTGTGGCTCAACTGCAGAGCACCCACCCAACATGCTAAAAGTACCACATTTAATCCCTAGCACTTCATGAAAAAAAGAAAGTAAATGTGACAACAGCAACAAAATAGAGAAATAAAGTAAAAACCAAATTAAAAACAACCATAGCACCAACAGCAAGAAACAAAAGGGGCAAAAATACTATCAAATAAACTAAAAATTTAATTAAGTACAGTTAATTTAAAAAAAGAAAAAAAGAAGAAAAACTAAAAGTTTAAAGCTAAAAGAGGAAAGCAGGGTAAATATAGATAAGTGGAAAAAATAAAAGACAAAAATTAATTTTTAAAGAGAAGAGAGGGCTGGGGTTGTAGCTCAGTGGTGGAACTACCACACATGAGGCACTAGTGTTCGATTCTTAGTACCACATAAGAAATAAGTGGGTGAAATGAAGGTGTTGTGTCCATCTACAACTTTAAAAGAAAAAAAAGAGAGAAGCTAGGTATGCTGTGCATGCTTGTAGTCTCAGCAACTTGGTGGGGATAATACAGGAGGATCACAAGTTCAAGGCCAACCTGGACAGCTTAGAACCTGTCCAAAATAAAAAGGACTGGAGATATAGCCCAGTAGTAAAGCACCCCTGGGTTGAATCTTCAGTTCTAGACACAAAGAAAGAGAAAATATATATACACAAAGGAAAAATAGTGGTTAAAACATTAATAACTTGCTCCCTGTTGGTATGCACAGATTGTGCAGGTAAGAGCAAATTACCTGCAGCCTATACAAGAACTTCAGTCTGAGAATTTTTGTCTCCTCCTTTCCTTTTTGGTGCCAGGCTTTCGATGTGAATGGTTTCTGACAGGAGCCAGTTAGAATATCTCTTAGCTACCCTACATACTAAAATAAACTAAGGTGAAACTCAGACCTCCCCAGGAAAGATTTACTCTGGAATTACTTGTGTTGCACACTCCAAGAATGGGGCGGATGCCAAGGTTATAGAATGTCAATGGAGCATGGAGTGAAATTCGTCTTGCACAGATTCCCTCTGGTGTCTTTTGCATTGTGCACTCCAAGGGCAGTGCTGACAGGTTCTGTATTATGTCAAATGACTCTGGCGCTTTTTGTGCTGCACTCTTTTGAATAGGGCGAATCTATGGAGATCTTGCTCTCTGTGCTGGGGGAGTTGACAGTGGACTCATTGTAGTCCACTCCCCTTAACTATGGTGTTCCTGAGACTTGGCTCCCTAGCTCCCAAACAAAATCAAGTTCCCCAGATTCCTACAGCTGGCTTCCCAAAGTGCTAGTTTTAAAGGGGAAACATCTTGTTCTCATGTGTTTCCTCTGTCCTTTAAGCATAGCAGTCCAATTTTTCACTGCATAGAATTCTCAAAACAGTTTATATCAGAGGCTCTGTCCCTGGACCAAACTGACACTTAGGGCATCTCCCCACTGAGCTACTGTAGTAATATTGACATGAGACCTAAAGGCGGAAAAATGCAAGAGGCTTTGACTAAGCAGTATGCTCAGATAAGACCTTCTCAAGATGACTACCTATTACAGCACCAGGAGAATATGCTATGAAGTGTAGAGAACTTCCAGAGCCAGTTTGCCGTGTAGATCCCAAGTGCATTGACTGTATTTCTACCAGGTGACTATTCCTGAGTATGGTGCTCACTGGGCCTCTGCCTCATTCACCCATCCTCCCACTTCCCATCCTGGGTACTTTGTTTTTACCCTGTTCAACCATACGAAGTCTCTAGGTTGTTCCAAGTCTCTGTCCACTATTGAACTTCACCATTCTCTCACCGTCACCCGTCACACCTTTATTTGCATCTGCTCTTCAGTTATTTCATTCTGTCTCATGGGGAAGTGGGCAAGTTCTAGGTGCCTTCAGGATCTCCAGGGTGTCATCTTCAGTCACTTGGGGGGGGTGGATATTCATTGTAACAGTCTTTGTTATAGCAAGAAATTGGAAACAGACCAAATATCTACTAGTAGGAGTTTCTTGACTTCTCTAGTAAAGGTAATATGGAACAAGAGGGAAAGACTTTTACTCATACTTTTTTTTGCAACACATAAATTTGTACACTTCTTTTTGTTTGTTTGTTTGGTGTGTGTGTGGTGCTGGAGATTGAACCCAGGGCCTTATGCATGGAAGGCAAGCACTCTACCAATTGAGCTATATCCCCAGCCCTGCAACACATAAATTTGAATACTCAAAATAAATTGAATAATTTGGGGGTTTGTTGAGCCTTGTGCAATTCTTGTGTTCCATAGTGTTGGTAATAAATTATTTTATGAAGATTATATATAGCATACCTAGAAACACTTTTCATTTGATTAGTCAATATTTTTTTAAATTTTAGTTGTTTGAGTTTTTATCTTTTCTAAATTTCTTTCAGTAGAAAGCAGTGGTAGAAGACCATCTACAGAAGATACTCAGGATGTAGATTCCAAAGCAGCTTTACTACCGGTTTGTAGATTTCTATGAAACAAATACATGTAAATGAATACATATTTATTAAAGAAAAGTTAATTGGTGGTGCTATTCTATATGAAATTATGAAAATTTCAAGAAAAATTTACCTTTGAAAACTTACATCAATGTTTAGTGGCAGTTACAGAGAAAATTTCTTTTGTAGTATATAGTCAGGAAAAATTTTTGCAGAAGAAAGAAAGGCTGGACCTTTTTGTTTGAGTTAAAAAAATTAATTTCATGAGCTTATTCCTAGCCATTTGATTTTGCAAATTCCCTTTAAAAGTAAGACATCTGATATCCAAAACAAATAGCTTAGGAGAAATAAAAATTTCTTTTATAGTCAGATATGAAGAAAGCAGTGTTAATATAAAATATTAACTTGATAGATTGTGTTGCTAAAAATCATGTTATTAAACAAATTTACATCAATGGAAAGGAGTTGGCCGATGGATTTTCACAGTAACAGATCCTCCTTTTTGGAGAAAAACATCCTGAACCTAAACTGCATGCTATTGCAACAAAGTCCCCTTGAAGATGACCAAATTAGAAATTCATATTAACAGTATTAGACACCTAATAACAATAGTAGTGTTTTGGGTTGTAGATAATAAAATAACTACATCTAAAGTGGTTAAAAGGCATAAAGGAACATATTTCAAGACATGAGGAAAGGAAAAAAGATGCTGTGCTAAAAGACTGCCAAATTTGAAAAGAATCTAGAAATTAAGAATTAAAATGGGTGTGATGGCATACCCTATAATCCCAGTAGCTTCTGTGGCTGGGGCAAGAAAATCACAAGTTCAAAGCCAGCCTCGGCAACTTAGCAAGGCCCTGTCTCAAAATAAAACATAAAAAGGTCTGGAGATTTGGCTTAGTTGTTAATAAGCACCACTGACACAAATAATAAATAAATACTCAATAGGGGTTAGATAACAGATGAGGTTATCCAAAGAGATTACTAAACTGCATCAGAATACATCAGAAAGCAAAATGGATAGGTGGAAAATACATTAAATGTGAAGATACATGGGAAGTGTATCTATTTGACTCAGAGTAGACAAAATTTGAAGAACTATAAATGACTTGGAATATGTAAAAATTCAAATTCAGGATCCAAACTAGAGAAATAAAAATATTTATACCTAGAAACATCACCTAATCTGCTGGATAAAAACCATTATATATACAAAGAAGGCTAAGATAAAATGCCTATATATCATTAGCAATTGTTTTTGAATTTCATTGTTTGCATGATTTTAATTTTTCTGTTTGTACTTTGATATTCTTTTGGCAAGGGGCACATTATTTTTAGAATCATAGAAAGAAATGTATATTTTGTTACAGTAAGATTGTCATCAAACAATTTGTAGAACTAGAAAAACTATGCTGTTGAAATAAGACTTCTGAAATTCTTTATTCCACCTTATGGTAGTTATATACATTTATTGTCTTATAAGTTCATTTATATGACACAAGGACTTCATATTGAATTTTTAACCCTTCATTCTTGAAACATACTATAAGAAACAAAAGTGTTAAGCAGTTATGTTTCATCTAGAGATTTTGGTTTTTGAGTTTTTGTTTGTGTTTGTTTTTAACTACAGGATTGGTTACAAGATAGACCATCAAACAGAGAAATGTAAGTAATCCTTTTTTCAGCTCTTTGCATTATCTCTTTAATGCTCCTTTATTTATAGGTGATGATTATTCTAGCATCTCATATCTTTATATAGATAAGATTGGGAAACATATAGTTATACTTTATAATTACATTCTACTAAATCTTCCTAATAGTGAAACAATTTTGACCTGATTTTTTTTAATACTGGGGATTGGACCCAGGGCCTCCTCACACATGCTGTGTAAGTGCCCTACCATCCATGATTTTATACTTAGTCTTGTTTCCAACTTGTTCTTGAATAAATTTGTTGAAGTTCAGTACTTAAGTTTTATATGTGATTAACTTCTTTGTCCATCATTCTAATCAAACTTTGCAGTTTCTTTTGGAAAATACTTCAATGATTAGAGCAGTAATACACAGTTTACATTAGAGAGTCTGTATATAGGAAGATTCACTAAAAAGCTGATAGGTAATCCAGAATCAAAAGGTGGAAACAAAAGGAAACCTGACAGATAACTGTCCTTGGAAAGTGAAATTTTTTACTACAGATAAAACTTAAAGATAAAAAAGAATCAAAGATAACTTCTGTGTGCCTAACTAGGAATTAGTATTTTAGGTTTTCTAAGCAAATTTTTAAAGTCTTTTTTTGACACTAATTTGATCCTGGAAGCATGGAGAGTTAACTCTCTGATACAGACCACTTGAGAAGGGAAGCCAATTTGAAGAAATTATACATTCCAGTAAGAATCTGAAATGGTTGTGAATATATAGAGAAGAAAATAAACCATGTGCTACATAGGTAAGCAGCTCTTCAAAATGTTAGAGTAGCCTAGCCCTGAGTGGCATTTAGAAGATATACCTTCATTCAGACCTCTTCAGGGACTGTTATCTTTGATAATCAAAGACACAGGATATAAATACAGAATAGGTGACTGGAAGTTGATCTGAATTCTGGTGTCTTAAAAAGGAAATACTGTCTAACACAGTTGACCCAGAGAAGTATCCAAAAGGTTGGAGTTCGACTTTTGTAGTGCTAAGAAAAAGAGTGGTTATTAGCAGCAGGCAAAGGGATAATGCTTGTGTCAAAATAATTCCTATAAGCGAATAGTTATATGCTATTAAGGTAAAAATCAATCTTTAAGATTGGATGGAATATGAAAACTGGAAAGAGAGGCTCCCATAAGCCCTTTATTCCCGAGATCCTTTTGGATCTTGTCCTTTCAGTCATGAGCAAGGCTGCATAGCTGTATATATGGGTAGAGCAAAGCCTGGAACCCATTTTTCTGTTCTCATTCCACTCTTCTTTCAACTATATGTGGGTCTCTTATTTTGCATTAGAATCCTTGAAATTAAAAGAACTTCCACTTGGGGATGGGGTTGTGGCTCTGTGGCAAAATGCCTGCCTCAGGCACTGGGTTCGATCCTCAGCACCACATAAAAATAAATAAAGGTATGGTGTCCATCTATAATTTAAAAAATATTTAAAAAAAAAAAAGAACTTTCACTTGTTGCAAATAGGCATTGTTATTAAAAATATTTTGAAGATTGTACAAAAATTTGACATTTGAAATTGAATTCTGCAGAATGACATCTATTACTGTTCTCTTGAGTTCCTTTCCTATCAGTACTATTGAAGTATTTTTAGAATCCTGGAAAGTCATTTCAAGACATTGTTATCACAGTGTTATGAATCTCCCACAAATACAGAAGTCGTGAAATATTTTACTTTGTTAATATCTTACTTTCAGTTTGACACTAAACTAGGAATGATGTTTATATAGGCATAAACTGGGGATAAAATTTATCAATAAACTAACAATAAGGAAGGGGTAGGAAGAATAGTAGTACTTTGGATTAGACAACAGGGAATGAAGGGAAGGGAGGAGGAATGAGAACAGGAAAGATAGAATGAATTGGACATTAATATTCTATGTGAATATATGATTACACAACAATGTAATTCTACATCATATACAACCAGAAGAATGAGAAAAGTTATACTCCATATATGTATAAAATATGTCAGAATACATTCTACTATCATGTATAACTAATAACAAGTAAAAAATATATTTTAAAAAGCAAGTAATCATAAAATAGTAGATGCATATGGATATATACATATCTATGTATGAATTAATAATTGACTAAGGGAAAATGGCAAATATTCAAATGAATGTGAATCCAAATGTCAGAATACTCGTGATAGTCCTGTAAAATAGAAAAATTGAATAGTAGCCAGAACTAAAGTGTGACACAGCTTTATATTATGCTTTTTATTGTTTTTTTTAGGCCATCTGAGGAAGGAACATTAAATGGTGAGTCTGTGGTAAATTTAATATGAAAAATTGGAAGTCATATATGACCTATTAAAGTCATTTGTGACCCTATTACCCTAAGCAAGAGATTTTAGACATCCAAGTTCAAAAAAGCCAAGGTAGCTAGAAAATTTTTCCCAGGAGTTTCTCATTAATACAGATGTTTTGCAAACAAACCAATAAACAATGATCTGTTTTCTGTCACTACCACTCTTTTATCCCTATTGCTCAAACTGTTTCTTCTCTACTGTTCATTGTTCTAGTAAATTCTTTAAGTCAGATATGTGAAACTTGAGGAAGTTATAATTTACTGCTTTGACTTTGCACTTCTAATCATGTGCTATTGCATTTACCTCTTAAGTATTTCTAGAATCCATCCTCCACTGTATATCCTACTGTGTCTTCAGTTTAGACTATCATTTTTAGTATAAATATGCATTAAGAATAATTCAATAAACCCTCAGGGAATTCTCATAAAAAGAGTATACCCATGTAATCAACACCCAAAAAAACAGAATATTGTCAATATCCCAGCTCTTTTCTGGCTTCTTATTACAACCCCTGTATTAACACAGTGAAGTCATGTTGTGCGTGTGTGTGTGTGTGTGTGTGTGTGTGTGTGTTTATATATATATATATACATATATGTGGAATCATACAATATGAAATATTTATGTATGTCTGGCTTCTAGTTATTTTTATGAAATTTATCAATGTAGGGGTGAATTGTGGTAATTTGTACATTCTTGGTACTTCATGTATTTCCTTATGTGAGTATATTAAATTTATCCATTCTAATATTTGATGAGCATTTTAGTAGCTCCCAGTATATGGCTGTTCTGATTTCTGTCATTATGAGCATTTTTGTTCATATTGTTTGGTAAACATAAGTACTCCTTTCTGCTGGTTACATGCCTAGGGGTGGAATTGCTAAGTTGTAGGGTATGTACTATGTTCATATAGTAGTTACTGCCAAATAGGTTTTCAAGATGGTTATACCATTTTGGGCTCCCTGCTTTTAGTTTTACTTCTAGCCTGTGTTCTACCACCAAAATGTTTTTTCTAAAAGATCTCATTTTGTCATTCTTCTGCTCCATATTTTTCTCGCTGTCAGTAAAATCTATTTGCTTTCTAGTGTGGCATATTAGGCTCTTAACAAGTTGATATTCCTTGCTTCTGTAGCTTCACCTCCTTCAGGTATGCTTATACTCTTGCTCATTAATTTGTAATCTTGGCTGCATATTCAAATCACTTGTAGAGAATCAATCATGATGACACATACTTATAGAATTAGAAATAATTTGGACTAAGGTCTCTGTACCCACTGAGGAATTTAAAACACTTAAGGTCATTGTGATGAATATAAATTAGTTCAGTTCATATTAAATCATTTCCCAAATGTAGTGTTCAGTTTAATACTTTCATACCTTTGCATCTTCTTGTTCCATTTAAAAGTGAAAACTTCAGAAAATTTAGAGATGAGAGTGTCTCTCTGGAGAAATGTATTTCACATTCCTGAAGTTCATCTTCTCATGACGGACTTGCTAAAATGGTTACATGGTTACATACCTCAAACCCCAAAAGTCACAAATGAAAACTCTTTTTTTGAGTGGGAGGAATTGGAAGAGTACAGTTTGTGGCAAGAGAATGTGAAGCATCATACACTTCTTCCCTTTCAGGTGTCTGGTGTATAGTAACCATCTAATCTGGCATAATGGGGAAATAAGGCACATAATGGTCGTATTTCTTTACTTATTTTTTTTCCATTTTTATGAGGAGAGGCTACATAAAGGATATATAGGGTATTATATGAAAATGTCTGAACAAAAAATAATGTTGCACTAGTACTTTTAAAAATAGTCTCATTTGTGTATTTGCATTTTAGGTCTTGCTTCTCCATTTAAGCCTGTCATGGATACAAATTATTATTATTCAGGTCAGTAATATAAAAGACAAAATTTAGTAATATTGTGAACTTTTAGAGATTTCATTATTTCTCTTATTTTTATGCAGCTGTGGAAAGAAATAACTTGATGAGATTATCCCAGAGCATTCCATTCACACCTGTGCCTCCAAGAGGTAAATCTCAAAAATAAGGAGATGAAAGGGAAAGTAAATTTTTCACTGATTTTTTTAGTTATAGCATAAAACATGGGTGGGGACAAAAAGAAAAAGGATCACTAAGAAATGTCAATTTCATATAAATTCTTAATTAGTCTACTACATAAGAGAGGTATACTTAAGTAGAAAAAAACATTAGAAGTTTTTAATTTTTCTATTACTGGTATACCCACAAAGAAAGGTGTACTGTAATTCAGGAAAGTTCTTTATCCACTGCCTAATAACAAAAGCATAGATAAATTTATATCACAGGAACTGTGGAACAGATAACTCTTAACTTCCTCCTGAAATTTAACTCCGAGATGTTTAGAATTTCAGTTGCTTTCTCTAAGTTTATCTTTAAAATGTTCATTATTTTAAAAATGTTTTGTCTTTATACATGAATTCAGAGATATTAAGGAAGAATATTTATTTCCTATCATTCATCATACTAAACTTCTAAAAAACTATACTTCTTTCATTTTATCTTGTATTTATTCCTTACTTACCCAAAGATACCTGCAAATTTTTATTCTACTTTGTCATTTTTAAGGACTCATAATTTGATTTTAAACTCTGTCCATTCACGTTGCAGGTGAGCCTGTCACGGTGTACCGATTGGAAGAGAGTTCACCCAACATATTAAATAACAGCATGTCTTCTTGGTCACAACTAGGCCTCTGTGCCAAAATAGAGTTTTTAAGTAAAGAGGAGATGGGAGGAGGTTTACGAAGAGCTGTTAAAGTTCAGTGTACCTGGTCAGAACATGATATCCTCAAATCAGGGCATCTTTATATTATTAAATCTTTTCTTCCTGAGGTGGTTAACACATGGTCAAGTATTTATAAAGAGGATACAGTTCTGCATCTCTGTCTCAGAGTAAGTATCAGTGAATATATAACTGTATAATGTAAGAACTTTGTTTTTTCACTTCTAGAGTGAATAAGCAAAATCCATTTTTAGTTTAAATATTAATCAAGGGGTTTCCCTTCTTCTTTAGGAAATTCAACAACAGAGAGCAGCACAGAAACTCACATTTGCCTTCAATCAAATGAAACCCAAATCCATACCATATTCTCCAAGGTAAACCTTTACATTTTTCTATGATATTTTTCTGTAATATTTTAGAATTATGTGGCTAGCAGTTTCTTGACCTTCATTATTAATGTTAAATAATTTATTCATGATTCAGATCAATTAGAATTTTCTTAACCAGACTGGTAGTAATATCTGTAACTGTTTTTCGTAAGGTTCCTTGAAGTTTTCCTGCTGTATTGCCATTCAGCAGGACAGTGGTTTGCTGTGGAAGAATGTATGACTGGAGAATTTAGAAAATACAACAATAATAATGGCGATGAGATTATTCCAACTAATACATTAGAAGAGATCATGCTAGCCTTTAGCCACTGGACTTATGAATATACCAGAGGGGAATTGCTGGTGCTTGATTTACAAGGTAAGTTTATTAAAATATTGCTAAGGTGAAATTATGTAATAGGTTCTTGCCTATTTATGTGTTATTGAATCTGCTAATTAAAAATCTTAGATTGATAGAAGCTATAAAATAAGTCAGTCAGCAGTAGAATATGGCCATCAGGGCTTTGAATAATGAAATTTGGCTGTCTTAGTTGTTGTAAAGGTAAAACATTTTGATAAACATATGCAGCCTTTAGTATTTCATCAGCTGAATTTCTCAGTTTCCCAAGTGGTCTCTCCACATGGCTAAGTAGCTTGGGCTTTCTCACATAGCATGGTAGTTTCAGGTATTTGGACTTTTTACACGGCAATTGTTTTCTGTTAGGGAGAAAGTAGAAATACTTAGGGCTAGGCCCATATCCCTTGCTTCACATTTTCCTGGTCAAGGCAAGTCTTTTGTTGTTATTGTCATTGTTGTTTTTATTACTGGGGATTGAACCCAGAAGTATTTTACCACTGAGCTACATCCCCAGCCCTTTTTATTTCTTATTTTGAGGCAGGGTCTCATTAAGTTGCTTAGGTACTTGCTAAGTTGCTAAAGCTGGTTTTGAGCTTGGAGATTCTCCTGCCTCCACCTCCCAAGTCACTGAGATTACAGGCAAGCACCACCAAGCCCAGCACTCAAGGCAGGTTATAAGGGCATCTAGGATTCAGGGGAAGGAAAATATATTCCAGCACTTGGTGGGTGGTAGAACAGTGTATAAACAGGGTATGAAAAATTCCTCGCTGGGGTTGTACATCAGTGGTAGAGCACTTGCCTTGCACGTATGAGGCCCTGGGTTCTATCCTCAGCACCACATAAAAATAAATAAATAAAAATAAAGCTATTGTGTCCATCTACAACTAAAAAATTTTTGAAAAAATTCTTTACAACCGTTTTAGAAGATAACTCTGATGTACATGTGAAAGAAGAAAAAGAAATTGTAGCTGTGAGAAAACAGCTTTGCTTGAAGTCATGTCTCTTCAGTTTTACAACAGTGTCAAAGGAAAGTTAAATAGGCAATTAGCATCCCTCTGCTTGGATAATATTTTCATATATAATTTTTCTTCATAAAGAATAGCCTTAATTTCAAATGTAAACTCGGATCATATTTTTAAGTCACATAAGAATAATTGTCTAGAATGTTTATCATTCAGTAACTCTTTTCATTATACAGATACCAATGTAAAAATTTATTTAAGGGCCTGGGGTTGTGCCTCACAGATGTGAAGCACTGGGTTCAATCCTCAGCACAAATGAATGAATGAATGAATGAATGAATAAATAAATAAATAAATAAATGCATTGTGTCCATCCTCAACTAAAGATATATATTTTTTAAAGTAAATAAATAAATAAAAGTGTTGTGCCCATCTACAACTAAAAATATTTTTTAAATTTATTTAAAAGCAAACAGTTTATTGATTCAGCTCAGTGAAAATTTGTGTAAATATAACTTTTTCAGTAGTTCATCATTTTATGTACATTACTAACTTGGTGTGTGTATATAGTAAAAACTTGCTCTTTTATGTTATTAGTTAGGTCAGCTATATTCTTATAATATTCTAATAAGATTCTTCAGTATGTATCTCTTAATTTTCTTCAAGTTGCAAGTAAATGAGACCAAACAAAATTTCCTGCTTTATTTTTATTTAATTAAAAGGGTGGTAATTATTTTCAGTGAGCAAAGTACAATTGAATTGACCCGTAAACAACATGAATTTTAACTACACAGATCCACTTAAATATGGATTTCTTTTTTTCAGGTTTGTGATAATTTTTAAAAATTCACAGATGAACCATATAGTGTAGAGTTACCAAAAAAAATAAGAAAATGTTAGGTATGTCATGAATGTATAAAATATCTGTAGGAAATAGTCTATTTTATCATTTTACTGCCATAAAATATATTCAAATTTATGATAAAGAGCTAGAATTTATCAGTATTTATGCATACAGGGTGCACGTGGTGCCATTGCAGTCAAAAGAAGTGTAAACAAATGTAAAGAAGTTGTCAGCCTGGGGATATAGATCAGTGGTAGTGTTTATCTACCTAGCTGCACAAGGCCATAGGTTCTATCCCCAGTACCAAAAAAATAAAAATTTTTTCAAAAGGTAAGAAGGTAAGAAATTTTTAATAAATGTAAAGACATGATATTAAGTCATAACTGCATAAAATTAACTACAACACATATTTTATTACTATAAAAATTTTATAGTCACTTTCTCTTGCTAGTTCAGATGTTTCAAACATCCATTTAAAATGCTGTGTGACCTAGTGTGATAACATATACCTATGATCCCAGCTACTCAGGAAGCTGATTCAGGAGGATTGCAAGTTCAAGACCAGCCTAGGCAACTTAGTTGAGACTATGTCTCAAAATAAGAAAATAAATAAAAGGGCTGGGAGTATAGCTTAGTGATAGAGCACTTGCCTACTGTGCTTGAGGCTCTTGGTTCAAGCCCCAGCACCACCACCCGATAGATAGATAGATAGATAGATAGATAGATAGATAGATAGATAGATAGATAGAGTAGTGCAGTTCATCTTAGAAATTGTAATCTCTTGACATTCTCCCGTATTCTTCACTGTATAATACATAATATATGTTAATCAGCTATGTTATCAGTAAGCCTTCTAGTCAACAGCAGGTTATTAATTAAAGTATTGGGAGAGTCAGAAGTTATACACAGAAGCTGAGTGCATTGGTATGAGCCTGTAATCCCAGCAATTCAGGAGGCTAAGGTAGGAGGATTGCAAATTTGAGGCCAGCCTCAGCAATTTAGCAAGGTTGTAAGTAACTTAATGAAATTGTGTCTCAAAATAAAAAGGACTAGGGATGTAGCTCAGTTATAAAATGCCCCAGGGTTCAATCATCAATACCCCAAAAAAGAAAAAAAATATATATATACACACACAAAGTTTGATTGGTAGTGAGTGGCAGGCCTTGGCCCTTGCCTCTAACTTCATCACTGCCAACACTAAGCCTGGCATCATGGATAACAGATGGAGCCATGTTGCAGGCAGCCTTACATCAGTGGTACCCACCAGCCAAGACAAAAACAGACAAGAATCTCATCACAGGAAAAATTTGGGGAGCAGTTAAATAAAGGTTCAGTGTAAGAAATGGATACAGTTTTATTAACAGGAATAACATCAAGGAAGATACATTTATATACCAGACTACCATAAAGAATAACCTAAGGAAGTACCTTTACAGTGTAAGAGTGAAGGCTGTGGAGTTTAATGTTATTAAAGGAGAAAAGGATAAAGAAGCAATAGATGTGACGGTCCTTGGAGAAGTTCCAGTTCAAGGCTGGAAAATATATGCAGTAGACCATAACCATTCAGTCATAGTCCTTTGTGCATTTGCCAGCAGAATTACCAAAATAGTGGGAAAAGAATGAGGGATATGAGAGCATTTCTGAAGGCCAGTTCCAACAATGCTGGTCCTTCTGCAGGTGAAGATTTCCACCTTATTACATTCAGAGAGCCTATGCGTCGACCACAGTATTCCAATTCTCCTGTACAGGGAGAAGTGATGAAGGGTGCTGACAACCAGGGTACAAGGTAGACCCATGAGACAGAATGTGTATCAGGGTTATAGACCACGATTCAGCAGGGATTTCTCTCCAAAGACATACTAGAAAGGATGGCAATAAAGAGGATAAGGAAAATCAAGGAGATGAGACCCAAGGTTAGTAGCCATCTCAGCATCAGTACTGCTTCCATTTTGGTTACCCACACAGACACCCAAAAACTCTTAAATCACAAGATGGCAAAGAGACAGCTCACCCATCAGATGAGATTTTGCTCCCTTCAAGACTGAGCAGGACAGGGTTTATTAAATGTCTGCTTACTATCTCAACCATCACCTCAACACAAAGAAATGAGTATGAAATTCCAGCAATAAGATAAACAAAAAGATTGGAGCTGAATATCATAAGTGCTTGCCTTTTGCCCAGTTAACTAAAACTATCTGCATTATCTATGCAGTATGGGGCTTTTCTTATTTTTACCAAAAGATTTCTCTTTTTGGTAATAAGAAATATGTTTGTTTTTGTTTGATCTAGTTTTTCTCAATACACTCTTAATGGTTTTTAAAACTTGCTCATATCTGGTCAAGATTTTTAGGAAACTCATTTTTAACTTATAATGAAAGTTTGCAACAATTTTTTTTTAAGTTAACAAACAGCAAGCACTTGTTAATAAAGACCTGGAAAAACTTTTGAAAATGTTATGTGCAAATATTTGACTGCACAGGAAATCAGTACCCCAACCCTTACATCATTCAAAGGTAATTATGATTTTCTTTATATAATTAATGTGTTCATAAGGCCTTTTTTTTTTTTGATGGACACAATACCTTTATTTTTATGTGGTGCAGAGGATCGAACCCAGTGCTTCACATACGCCAGGCAAGTGCTCTGCCACTGAGCCCCAGCCCCATAAAGCCATTTTTGAAGGAATATTTTAGATGATTCGTATACAATTTAACATTAAAAATATAAACAACAAAGTGTTTCCATCCTTATTGTTTCTTTACTTCCATAAAGACACAAACAAATGAAAATACCCCCTCCTTAATTTTTAATCATTTTGTTGTGTTGTGATGGTTTTTCCAAAACTGTTATCGTGAGATGTATATTTTTTTCACTTGTTTTTGCCACCTAACAATATACCATGGACATATTTTAGGTTGTTATTTATTAAGTCTAAGTTATTTCTTTTAATAGTTTTGTGATAGTCTGTATAGCATTTACATCCTTTATTGACACTATAAACAGTGCTGCTGCTAACATACGCATGTATTGCTTGCTACTTTTATTTCCATAAAGTAGGTTCCTAAATGGGCTTAGTAAAAAGAGAAAAGCAGTTTTTAAAAGTACCTCCATAGAAAGCTGAATTTATATTCAGCATTGTATTCAAATGCCCATTTCTTTACAGCCTCTCCAGTGTTGAATATTCTTTATCTTTGCTAATCTGTTGGGTGGAAAAGAGTATTGCATTTTAATTCTGATTATTTTTTCTTTTGTGGATAAACCATTTAATTAGGTTTCATTCTAATAGGTTAAATTTGCTGATTATTCAAAATGTCAATAGGTGGTATTTATATATGAATATATGAGAGACTAGAAAGATTTAACCATGCTTTTAATAACTCTGGAGGGGGCTGGAGCTAAAGATGTTCATAGTCTTACTTTTTATGTTCTGAATATCTTTATAATTTTATTACATGTTAACATGTGATTTTTTTTTCTTAAAAATGTTTCTTTTAGGGCTGGGGATATGGCTCAAGCCGTAGCGCGCTCGCCTGGCATGCGTGCGGCCCGGGTTCGATCCTCAGCACCACATACAAACAAAGATGTAATGTCCGCCGATAACTAAAAAAAAAAAAAATATTAAAAAACTCTCTCAAAAAAAAATGTTTCTTTTAAAAGTCTTATGGATTTATACTTCTTTATGTACCAAATTGTTCTTTGCTTATAACTAAGGTGGATTAAGGGCAGACTGTATAGACCTTTCACAAAAGGCCCTGTTGATTCAGAAACTGGGTACCAATAGGAGCTTACATGCCTACTTTCTCACTTTGACATTTAACTCTCATTCACATCACAGGATCTATGTCTGTTCCTGATGGGATACCGAGGTTATAAAACAAGTTATGAAATATTAAGAGAGAAGAACTTATACTCCTTTGAATAATTTTAACATTGTAATGATGGATGGTGTGGTAAAATAACCTCTAGACTTTTATTATGCAAATGTCAATATTAATATCAATTATGTGATAAAAATTTTTGTCTTTTTTACATATACATAAAGGTGTGGGTGAAAATTTGACTGACCCATCTGTGATAAAAGCAGAAGAAAAGAGGTAATAAGTTTTAACAATTTCATTAAGGTATATTTTCAGATTCTACATTTCTGTTTGCATAAATTTTCTTTTTTTTTAATCAATTTCACAGATCCTGTGATATGGTTTTTGGCCCAGCGAATCTAGGAGAAGATGCAATTAAAAACTTTAGAGCAAAACATCACTGTAATTCTTGCTGTAGAAAACTTAAACTTCCAGGTAAAAAAATTTCTTAATATAGTACATAAATTGTTAGCCAAGGTAGTTATTACTACAATAGTAATAACCAATAGTAATAACTGCTTGGCTAAGGTTAGGTAGCCAACTAATTTGGCCAAGGTAAGGCTAAGGCTAGAGGTACAAATATTTGATTTAATGGTCTCTAATTTTGTCAACCTCAACAGCAACCCAATCCAGTTCCTTTCTTTTGTAGATAGTATAATTAGTTGAGATTACTTATGATTACACCCATTGGTTAATAACACAATCAAAACTGAGCTATAATTGCATATCTCTCTACTATTCTTGGTATAGTACAGCTACATATTAGTTTGTATTCCCTAAGGCCATACTGCATAGTCTTGAAGTAAAATTTAATTAAAAAAAAAAAATGCATGTAGTTGTAAACGTGTATTTGGGTCATTTAATGTAGACTATTTTTCAGATTAAAATGACAGTTCATATTTTGAGTATCAGTTCTTTTTTATATTCATGTAAAGGTACAAGAGTGTAAGCATGACTATGCTTGATTTAAATTTATAAATTTGATATTACTGCATAAAGGTTTCTAATTCTATTCTCATCTGTCATAACTCCTTAACCTGTTTTGTCCCATTATCCCAAATGTGGAACACTTATAAAAACATGGATATAGTATATATAATATGATATAGATTATAGTAAGAATATTTTAATGATTATAATGTGATTATATTTCTGATGTATTTAAATACAATATTTCCAACTTATTTTACTACACCTGTGTCAATTTCATTGAAATGTTCACAGAATTGAAAACTTAGAACTTGATAGTTTAAGGGTTAAGTGATTTCATCCTGTCTCATGGCTATAAATGCATTTTACATACTGACTGTACCAAGTTTATCTAAAGACTTAACTACTTTCTTGTGCTCCTATTTCTGATATCCTAAAGTATCTTTATAGTAACATATCTATTCCAGAGCTCTTGATTTTTCATCTCTCACCCCTACACACAAGTCTCCACTTCTACATTTCACTTATTCTTGACCCAACTAGCTGCTCAACCTCTAAATTAAAACTATCCAGTGTCTTTTTTCTCACTTTTCATGACCAATCCATCAAGTTCTATATACTCTTATTCTGAAATCTCCCCTAAAATTCATCATTTCTTTTTCATCTTAATTGCCACCATCTTGTTTCTTGGAAGTTGACATTTACCCCTAACTTCACATGTCCATTAGAATATTTATTTAAAACAAATCAGATTATAGTTCTCCCGTGAGACTGCTTAAAACCTTCCAGTACATTTATTTTAATCTGTATTATACATCATAGTTTACATTCCCTAAATCAAGAGTTGGTGAACTTTTATAAAGGACAGGTAAATGTTTTCTACTTTGTGGCCATGTGGTCTGTGTCTCAGCTACCTAATTATACCATCACAGTGCAGAAACAATTGTAGGCAATAAACACAGAACTTGGCTGCATTGCAGCAAAATTTTTATAAAAATATGCAACAGGCCAAATTTAGCCCACAGGTTATAGTTTGACAATGCTTGGCCATCAACTGCTGCTTGACCTCATTTTCTGCTAGTCTTCTCACTTGCTATACATAAGTCACACTGTCTACATGTCATTGTTAGAGTATATCAAGTCTTAATTCTTTCTTAGTCTTTATAGTTAACCTTCTATCTTCCTAGAACATTCCTTTTAGAATTTTAATTTACTTCTCAATATTCAGGTCTATACTCAAGAGAGTCTCTTCCTCTGGCTTTTCTGCCCAGCCCTGTCTGAAAGAATCACCCTATAACCGTCTCTCATCTGGCCCTTATCATACTTCATCATATTCTTCTCTTCAAAGCACTTGTTACTGCTTCTAATTGTATTATTTTTCAATTTGCTTGTTTTCTATCACCCACTACAATACAGGCTCCATGAATAAGGACCTTGTCTGCCTTTTCGTTTGTATATTCCCAAATTTATATGAATGGCTGCTGATTAATAACGATCAGTGTTTAATAATTGTGTTTGTTCAGTGAATGATTTCATTTTTATGTATATGAATTTTGTGGTTATTAAATATATAACTGCAGAAAATAAGGTCTGATGTTTA